CCTTCAGCCTCCACCGTGTGTACAGAAAGAAGGGAAAGAAAACAGGAGAAGACAGAGCCTGCTGCACTGCTGGTGGGAGCGTAACTGGTGCAGCCACCATGGAAAGCAGTCTGGAGGGTCCTTAAAAATACCAAAATGAGAGTTACCGTCTGATCCAGTAATCCCACTCCTGGGCGTACACCCAGAGAAAAGCATGGTCTGAAAGGATACTTGGACCCCAGGGTTCACTGCAGCAATATTTACGATAGGCAAGTCATGGAAGCAACCTGAACATCCATTGACAGAGGAAAGGATAAGGAAGATGGGGCGCACACATACAATGGAATATTACACAGAACAAAACAATTCCATTTGTAGCACCATGGATGGACCTAGTAAGGATCATAGGCAAGTGTCATGACATCACTGACATGTGGAATCTAAAATATGACACAAACGAACTTATTTAGAAAAACAGAAACAGACACGTAGACACAGAAAACAAGCTTATGGTTACCAAAGGGGAAAGTGGGGGAAGATAAACTTGGAATTGGAAGGAACTTACACACACAGCACGATATATAAGGCAGATAAACACAGGCTGACTCCATAGCACATGGGGCTATACTCCGTATCTTGTAATAACCGATAATGGAAAAGAATCTGACAAAGAATACACACATACACACACACACATAACTGTACACCTGAATCATTGTAAACCAACTAAACTTCAATTAAAGAAAAGGACAGAAAAAGATACAGGGGCCGGATACCTGTGGTGTGGCGAGTGTGTGACCGTTAGTGATGAAGCAAGTCTGAGAATTCAGTTATTGCCTTTCTTTGTATATAGTGGGCTTCCCTGTGGCTTAGATGGTAAAGAATCTGCCTGCAATGTGGGAGACCTGGGTTTAACCCTGGGTCGGGAAGATCCCCTGGAGAAGGAAATGACAATCCAAGCCAGTAGTCTTGCCTGGAGAATTCCATGGACATTTGAGCCTGGAGGGCTATAGTCCATGGGGTTGCAAAGAGTCAGACACGACTGAGCGACTAACACTTTGTATATAGTGCCCTGTGGAGTGTTGCTCGATTAGGACTTAACACTTTCTAATTACTCCAATAGTCTTTCCAGTAGTCATGTACAGATATGAGAGTTGGACTATAAAGAAAGCTGGGTGCCAGAATTGATGCTTTTGAACTGTGGTGTTGGAGAAGACTCTTGAGAGTCCCTTGGGAAGCAAGGAGACCAAACCAGTCAATCTTAAAGAAAACCAACCCTAAATAATCTTTGGAAGGACTGATGCTGGAGCTGAAGCTTCAACACTTGGGCCACCTGATGTGAACAGCTGACTCACTGGAAAAGACCCTGATGCTGGGAAAGATTGAAGGCAGAAGGAGAAGAGGTCGACAGAGGATGAGATGGTTGGATGGCATCACCGATTCATTGGACAGGAACTTGGGCAGACTCCAGGAGATGGTGAGGGACAGAGAAGCCTGGCATGCCACAGGCCACGGGGTCACGAAGAGTCGGACAGAACTTGGCAACTGAACAACTTAGTAGGGATATTGGACATACAAGCTCTCTAATAACAACAAAGTCTTAAACTCGTTTTTTAAAGTGCTTTACTATTTCGATTCACGAAGCAGCTAAAGAGAGGCCTGAGAACCAGCACTCTTGAGGCAGGAGAGTGACATCCCTTTTCCTCTCTGCCTGCAGGCCTCCCCCCGCCACAGGGTAGCAACGGTCAGAAGGCCTGCAGACATAGAAGGTCACTGCACTGGGACAGGCACTCGTCCGAGAGTCTGAGCGCCCATGTTCTGTTCCGGCCCCAGCTTGGAGCGGGTCTCTGTGCCGGATGTCACTGCACCCTCTGTGAGCTAGGAGGATGAGGCTGGGTCCCTCTGTGGGCCCCCCGGCTCTGACCGGGGAGCCCAGGTCACACAGACAGCTGGCCTCAGCCCCGCCCCCACCTCCCGCCCCAGCTACTGGCTTGCTGGAATGATCCCCGGGCGGGTGGCTCGGTCTGTGAGAAACAACTCTCCCCCGGTGAGGACCCGCCACCCACCCTCCAGCCTGGCTTGATGCGGTAAATGAGGGCTGACTCATCCAGTAACACGAGAACAACGCTGGAGCCAGAATCCAGAGCACATTAGTGCTCTCTGCTTGGAGTCCTGAAGTTATTCAGTAACAGAGTGTTTCTGGTGCTGGCTGTCGCCATGGTGAGGAGTGCAGGAACTGGACCCCATGCCCGTATAAGGCAGGGTGAGCCCGAGGCTCCGGGAGCCAGGCTCTGCGGCGCGGTCGCGGCTGCTCCGGGGCACGGAGGGGAAGACAGGCGGCGAGGGACCCCAGGGGAGAACGTGGGAAAGAACAGACTCTGCGCCGGCTCTCTGAGCCCAAAGTCCGCCCACGGCTATTTTAGTGGATTCCGTTACTTCTGAAAAATACTATCAGCCCAAAAGGAGGGCAGAAATAGCTCTGCTTTCACCAGAACCCCATCTGGGTAGAGCTGTTAATTGGCAAAGATTTAATACACGTCCACCAGGTTTGTGGAATGGACACAGCGATTCTATGCTCATAGAAGATTTAATAAAGTCTATGCGACTGTCCGAACAATGAATAACTTCAGGAACGCACTGGGCTTACCCAGTAGACAGTGATAAACGGGGTTAGTGATTTTCTTCTCACTGGGTTTTTTCCTGGCTTCTTACTCTCAGTCACTCCTATCACCTTACCGATCGATATTCAATAGCACATGTGAATCAGTCAGGCAGCCTCAGTTAGAACCACCCAGCTTGGACCTGTGTGGCCCAGAAAGTGACTTCATGACTCCAAACATCCCTGCCATCCCGGTATGGGGTGGGGGGCGGATCACTGGCCCTGGTTCTTGAACAAACTATCCAGACAACTGCTGAGTCTCAATTTAATTTGATTTCATTTGATAATGTGTCTGCAGATTAAAGTCAAGCCCATGCTAGGTTACTCATGTTAATGAAATTAACCAGAAGGTGTCACTTTCTGCATTTCTGGCAAGGCGGCGAAAGACTCAAGGTATTTTCTTAATCAGGGATGACAGGAAATAACGCCTGTGCCGTAAACTTACTAAATGAGAAAGACCTGGGGACCTGCAGAAATTCTCTTCTAATGACTTCTTTGAGAAGACCCTTGGTGTCCTTTAATAATCCACTGCTGTGCGGACGGTATTGCGTATGGAAATGATCAGAGGGAACTATCTTTATGGGAGAAAAATGTTCTTTTAAAAGCATCAGTGTTCGCATACTGGTTCTACGTTAGCTAATTGCAAACAGTGAGAAAGAGCAGACCCGGTCCCCTTCTACTTGGCCTGTCTGGGCTCTCTCTGGTGGGTCCCAGGGAGAAGAACAGTCCAGAGCCAGGCTCCCTCCGACACAGGCAGGTCTCAGAGACACGTGCGATCTCAGAGCACTGGTTTCTCTTTCCTGTGCCCGTATAAGGCTGAGCGAGCCGAGCTGGGGAGGCCAGAGCCTGCAGTCAGGCCTTCCGCCACTGCTCCGGAAGCATCGCTGGGAAAATCTATAGCCGGGGACCCCAGGGGAATTTAAGTCTCAGGGAACGGCCTCCATATATTTAAAAATACTTCTCCTTGTGAAATGCTGATAAAGCATCCTCAACTAGCAATTCCTTAAGCACCAAGTCCCCACTGAGAGCAGAGGAAGCAACCACAGCAAAAAGTGACGCGATGCACACAGCCCGTGAGACCCGCGGGAGCTTCGATCTCTGGGCAGACCACTCCTCCGCTGTGATCACTGCCACCGAGGTAACGGTCGGCCTCATAAGCCCCCCACATCTATAGAGGGGGCCCGTCACACCTCTGACCATTTGACTTCTCATAAGCCCCCCACATCTATGGGGGGGCCCGCCACACCTCTGACCATTTGACTTCTCATAAGCCCCCCACATCTATAGAGGGGGGCCCGTCACACCTCTGACCATTTGACTTCTGGGGCGGGGACTCGGGTCTGGAAGGAGGCAGGACCCGACACCCAGCTACAGAGCTGGGTCCCCAGCCAGTCATCTCTCTCTCCTGGTGGGTGAGGGGGGGCGTGGCGACTTAAAACACTGACGCAGGGTTCAACTTGCTGGAGCTCACTGGGAACCCCCGAGGATGGCTATGATTCCCGATTCCAGCAAGGACAGGGAGACGCAGGCGATAAGTCCCGAAGGCCTCTCACTACCTGACACAGGTGAGCCCTGGAGGGAAAGGAATTACCCCAAAGCGTAAGGACTTGAAAGACTTTGTGTCGAAAGACGAAAACCAGTCCCTACACTGCCACACACCAAAGAGGGCCTAAACACATGAATATAAACAAACCTTTTAACTTCAATGATGCCTGGACTCAAACGTCAGCTTTAAAAGCAACGCTTGGATGAAACATGTTAAAGTGTCAGGTCCACATTTCAAACTTTGCCAGATGTTTGGATAATTCGGGGCGACCTTTTCTCTCTGACTTACCTGTGAAGTGCCTTTACATAAGGGGCGTTCAGGGAAGGTGTGGGATAATTTTAAAAGCCAAAGTGATTCTCAGTGGTTCAATGCCAGCACCCTTTAGTTTAAATAGATACCAGGGTATAAATACAACTAAGTATTCTCGGTGGTTCAATGCCAATGTCCTCTAGTTTAAATAGATATCAGAGTATAAATGCAACTGTTTTCTTTATGCAATATTTTTACAAAATATATGTTTATATACACTACAAATATTAAACATAATTGCGTTATGTACACATATGCACACATGTGTATTTATGACAATGAGCAAGAGAGAAGATGCTTGAGAAGGTCAACACTTCTCAATTTGTTAAGAGAGTGGTATAAATAGACTCAATTCTGCATTCTATTATTGCTTGCTTCATGTAAATGAACTCACCTGTATTAAATTTCTTACAATTGTATGCAAATGACTTAAGCAGGTGATATACAGTACTTGGTACAAAATGGAAGTAAAACGAAGATAATATTCATTGCAACATCGTGACTTACCCGCCCTCCTTTCTCGGGGTAGCACTGGCAGCCCCCGCTGCAGTCTCTGCCTCCACAGGGCACGTCCAGTTTCTTCACGCCCTGCAGAAACAAAGCACAAAACACAGAGAACGTTACCTACTGCCCTCCGACCACAGGGCGGGCCATAATGCCACCTGCTGACAGTCCTTCCACGTCTAACAACCGTTCAATCAAAACATTCACCCAGTCTTTAAAGAAACAGAATTCGGCTTTTAGAGCGGTTTGAGGTTCCTGAGAAAAGGTATGGCGGTTTCACGCACAGCTCCTTCTGCCTGCACCTCCCAGCTATCAACATGCCCCTCACCAGATGGGCCGAGTGTTATAATTGATGAGCCTCCACCGATGAACCACCACCCCCCAAGTCCACGACTGACGTCAAGGTCACCCTTGGTGCTGCACATTCCAGGGTGAATTAGCCTTTTCTCAGTGCCTACTGAGTGCCAGATGCCAAGCTGGGTCCCGGGGCTCAGAAGTCAAGGAGAACATTCTCCAGGGATCCTGTGTGAAGTGAGCCTCGGATAAGGTGTTAATCGCTTTATTTTCAAGAAGGAACTCCAGGCTCTGTTCTGCCTGGAAAGGTGGGGGTGGGTTCTGGGAGAGACGTCCGAGGCTGGGGTAGGATGGTGGGGTGACTGCCCGAGGCACTCTGCAGAGCCTCGTGACAAAGCCCAGACATAATGAATTGCAGGGAGGGGGGTTCTGATCCACAGGCAGAATTTGCAAATACACCTGGTGGGATGACAGGCCCTCCCCTCCAGCACAGGGAACCGCCCTCCAAGGAGAAGCCCCGCCCTTCCCTTCCCTGAGACGTGCTAACTTGGGGTGCAGAGAAGGCAGGCTGGTGGTGAGGTTTTTCCTAAGTGTTTATTCAGCTGGGTTGGGGTGACATCATCGAACTTTTTGCCAGTCCCTGAGATGTCCCTCTTTGATGACTTTAGCGATAACGGGTGAATTCTCTGGCTAGACGATTCCAACGAGGAAAAAGGCATTTCTTGCCCTCCGCCTCAGTGTTTCAGGCATGAGAGGGACTTGCAGATTGGACCGTGTCTGAACACGCTCCGTGTCCACAGGACTAAGCGTTTTGAGTCGGAAACGACAACCAGCGTGGCCCCCTTTCTCCCCTCTCTGACCAGCCCAACGTCAGCTCTGTCCCCCTGCAGCCCCATCCCACCCCGCAGGTGAGTTAGTGTGGCCGGTCCCCGGGGGGCCTCCATCTGGCTCCTCACTCTTGCCCAGGTGGTCTGGAGCCTGCAGAGAGCCGATCCGGCGGGGACCCTGGGTGCAGTGAGCCCTGGTGAGCACGCGGCCAGACCTAACGGTGCAAGCAGCGGCGCGACCACAGAAACCGCTCCAGCTCAACAGCATCGCATTTCTCCTGGGCAGCTTCTCCCCTTCCGAGTTAAGTCCCGGTCCCTTGGGGACGCCGTCTGAAGTTCTTCTGTCTGGTTTTTGGGCTAGCACATTGGTCAGCATTCTCCCGGTTCCCCAGGGTTTGTGGGGAGATGCGGACGGGGCTGCCTGGCCGCCCGACACCTCCTGCCAGCACAAGCCTCCTGGTCGGTCAGTGCTGGGGGCATATGTGAGCTCTGCCACACTGCCTGGCGAGAGCTGACCCTAGACCTCATCAGAGACACAGTGTCCTTTCTGTAGACAGGATACATCCCTTTGTTAAGTACTTTCTATGGAAGGGTGGTGTTGCAGTTTCACATTTTTTTGCTTGTTGTTCTTATTCCTTCCCTAATCTAATGTCGGCTGCATCTGTCACTACTTTGAAGAATTGAAAAAAAAAAAAATCTGAAGATCTCAAACTCTAAAGAAACCAGCACCTCTAAAGTCTTCTGAGACTCTTGGTATCCTCCTGAGCTGACTCAGGCAGAGAGAGCACAAGAGTAAACATGAACGGGTAAGGGGCTGCCCAGGTGGTGTTAGTGGTAAAGAACGTGCCTTCTAATGCAGGAGACGCGGGTTCCATCCCTGGGTCAGGCATATCTCCTGGAGGAGGACATGGCAACCCACTTCCGTACTCTTGCCTGGGAAATCCCATGGACGGAGGAGCCTGGCAGGCTACAATCCGTAGGGTCGCAATGAGTTGGACACAACTGAAGCAATTTAGCTCACACACACAAACATGGATAAAGTCCTTTCACGCCCTCCAAATGTGATTCTAGGTACTTGCCCATTTTTGTATGGCTTCAGTGTTTAACTACAGTGGGGCTCATTTTTAAACCGCCTGACCCTGGATATTTGGTGTTTACACATCCAGCTGCAGGCCAAGCTGACGGTGTGCAGATTATCCTAAGCACCGACGTGAGGAGACTGGACGCACCGCGTTGGACTTTGTCCTCTGCACGACCAGGACGCGAATAGGTGTGCGGGCGAGGCGACCTCTGCTCACACAATCATGATTCATTTACCAGTTGCTTGGAAAGGGTAGGGGGACGCCTCAGGCTGAAGTGAGAACCATACACTCCTATTCCCCATCGGGGGTTTCACATGTTATTTTTAATTTTGATTTTAAAGCCACTTGCCAAATCCCTGTATATAAATCATGGTCGAAACGACTTTAACGGCTTCAAATAGACCTAACAGACTTTCTGTTCTAGCTCTAGGATATGCACTGGATTTAGTTATAGAAATGTGCTTGTAACCCGCTCAAAATTCAGTGCTTTCTGCTTTGGGAACAAGGCTTGCAGGCCTGAAGACTCCCAGTCTCCATACTTTTCAGTCATGAGCCCAGGGCTCAGATACCCTGACTCAGGAAGTGGAGGAGACATTGTTGAGAGGTAACCCTCCACCTGATAAGCCAGTTTCCATCCTGGAAGTTCCAGCTCTTGTGTGTGTGTGTCTGTATGTCTGTGTGTATCTGTGTGTGTGTTGTGTGTGTCTGTGTGTCTTGTGTATCTGTGTTGTGTCTGTGTGTGTTGTGTGTCTGTGTGTGTCTGTGTATCTGTGTTGTGTCTGTGTGTGTTGTGTGTCTGTTTGCATGTGTGTGTGTGTCTCTGTGTGTGTTGTGTGTCTGTGTGTTTGCATGTGTGTGTGTCTGTGTGAGTTTCCATCAGCATCTCACACATCCCACAGAGGGGCTCTTAAGAATTCCAGCAGCAACAAGAGCCCTAAGCACCACCTTCTGGAATGTCAGATCTCCAGGATGAACAGGAGTATTTACTTCTCTAGGGCAGGGCATGTGCTCTAGATGTTTCTTAGAGGCTGAACAAGTCTCAGGCTGAGCCTTGGCATTCTCTGGAGACGACCTGGGCTCTGGAACATTCTCAAGACACAAATGTCCTCTGGAGGCCCTCAGATGAGTGTGTGAAGGGCTGTATGTGTCTGTGGTCCAGCCCCAGTTGCCTGCCCCCCCAACAAGAGAACAAAAGCTCAGACCAACCACTGCCCAAGCCACCCCTGATTCCATGATGCAACATAACTTGAAGACACACCAGGGTCCTCTTGTCAGTGCCTTAATAGAGATGACGTGCTTCCTCCCCAGCTACACCCACCTCAAGAGTCTGCCCACCACCCTCGCACATGATAAGCTAGCCCTGGTCCTGACCTTCACCTTTGGAGTCTCGCTTCCACCCATCAGGGCCAAGCTCTCTCTGAAACATCAATCCATTGCTCGTTAGCTTCCCACCTTGGTCCCTGCCGGTCACACGGTGCAGAGCAATACTCCGGCAGCAGCTCTCCCGGAGCCCCTGCGGGCCACTCAGCATCTCAGGAGGAGATGCAGCTCCAGGGCCTGGAAGCCCCTGTCCTGGACCAGCTGCATCTACTCAGCAGAGCTGGCCAAATGCTCACCCTGGTGTGAACCTCCTTCATCCCAGGGCAGACAGGAGCTCACAGACCAATGGAACCAATGATGCTGCAAGGACTCCCAACCTTGGAGAATGTTTGAGTCCAATTCTGACATCTCAAAAAGTGCTTTGGGGCTAATGGATGTGGTTTTGAAAGATGAAAGTGAATTATAAGTTTGGGGAAGTCAGACAGAAGCAGCCTGAACATAAAGAGCCTGGTAAACCAGGAACATCTCTGAGCTGCATCTGGAGGAGATGAAAGGCAGGTAATCTCCTTTCGACAATTAATGGGAACAAAACCCATGCTGGCAAGGAAGGAGGGGGGCAGGGAGGACGGATTGGTTGATTGAGGGGAAGCTCAGACACAGCGTCAAAGAGGCAATCCCTCCACGCTGGACACACCGCTGCTCCGTCCAGACCCTCGCTACTCCCTCCTGTTGTGTGGATGCAGCATCGGCCTGGCCCTGGTGCCGCTCAGGACCGCAGACCCCGCCCCAGGGTTCCAGCAGGGTTTCCAGGTAAGCAGGGAGGATGGGCTGCCTCTGAGAAAGGGGGTTTGCTTGTAGACAATGAGACAACTGCAAACCATGGAGACATCTCTTCTGTGGAGCAGAAACTGCCGTTTCCTGCAGGATCACCAGGGCCCTGCCTAAGGCGGACCCAGGCATGACCATCCTAGACACGTGCCAACCTTCGGCATCTTTTGACCCCTGCCACCTGGGGCGTGCTCAGGGTGGCTCTGAGCAGTCAGGACTCAATTCGAACTTATAATCAACCACAGGGCCAAAAATTTCAGTTCTCTTTTCCTTAGTCAAAACATCCTTTTGAAACTCTCTCTTTTTTTTTTTTGCTAAATTTCGTGCTGTCCTGAATTGGTAGCCAGCATTGTTGTGCTGATTAGAAATTCAAGGAATTGGAAATGACCTGGATCGCTTAAGAGCCAACTGGCAATGTAAAGGCATAAGATACATTCTCTAGAGGCCTTGGATCATATTCTACCCAAACGGAATGTAACAGATGGTTTCCAGGGCAACATGGAGAGCTCTGAACAAGAGATTTCTTAGTGAGCTTTTTACATGGGAATTCTTTTCTTTGGAGCCTTGTCTGAATCTTGGCATCATTACACTGTAGAATGATTTAAAAATACATCTATTTGCATGGGCTTTAGTTCATCCGAGAGATAGCCAGATCATCCCCAGATGCATGGTTGAGATTCCCTGGGAAGCTTTTGTGTCTGAGAGAACAGAAGTCATGGAATGTTCTAAGCAA